AAAGCAAGATGATAATGTCACTAAGACATAAGGTGTTACGGGGAGTGACAGAAAATGAAAAGACTTTAGGGAAGAGAAAGGACAATAAAAAACAAAATTCAGGGAGAAAGAAGATGGCAACTGATATTGCATTTAAATTTTTGAAAATTGTAGGTGGCTGGGAAGCAAGAAATCAGACAAGAGTTCCACAGGCAAAAAAGAAATTATTATAATAAAACTGTAAATTGGTAACACCAAAATATAACAATTACAAATATATATTTTGGCTAAGAATGGTTGCCCAAGGAGAAAGGGATGTAAGGAGAAGTCTTGGCAAAGGCTTAGCCTTTATTTCCAACCCTCACTGATTACTAATAGCTGTATAACAATAGTTTGAATTATGATGTCAAGCAACCAAAATTAAGATGATAAAAATACCAGACTCAATAGAAACAGGTGAGCAATAACTGAACAGTACTAAATAAGATCTAGATGCAATATCCTGACACATTGACAGAGAAATGAGAACAATCTACTCTTCTAGATTGAATAGAGGATTCAATTTGAAATTCCCTGAAGGTTACCCAGATCAATAGAAACCTGAAATGTTGTGATAATAGTAAAAAAGATGAAATCAAGAGTCTGAATCTTAATAATGTAAATGTTACTTATATAGACTGGTTCAATTGTAAAAAATTTTTTTTTTTTTGCTGAGAGGGGGATAATTTTTTTAGATTAGCATTCATATGACCTTTCTCAAGTCACAACATTTGTCAGAATCAAAAAATGTTGATTTTATTCATTGATTTAGAAGGGGGGGGGTCCAGTTTATAATATTGATACAGTGTAAAATAGATCATCCATTTTTAAAGAGTTATTGAACCTAGATGTTATTTAAAAATGTCTAGTTTGAAACTGTACCTCCATCTGCATATTTTTACTATTTAATTTTCTGAATTTTTAAAACTTTTGTGCTGGGTTTCAAAGCACATGACCAAACATTGGAGGATAACATTTTTTATCTTAAATGAAGAATAAACAGATATATAAATTTATTTAAGAACAAAAATTTACTTGAACCAATAAAAAATGTATATATTCATTTGTTCTTTATTTAAAAGAAATCTTTTTTTATAAAAAACAAATGGTCTTTTTGCATGCAGAACAGATAACTCTAAAAAGTCAGGCATCAATTTGATACTGTATTGATATCATAAATACACCACCCTCTATGAAATAAATAAAATGAATGTTTTGATTCTTACAAATGATACATTTTGAGAAAGGTTTAATGAATGCTCAGGAACAAAAAATATTTCTAAAAAACCTTTTCCCTCTCTTTTATGACTGAAACTATCTACTTAAGTAGTAAATAATTAAAATACTTGTCAAAAAAATTAATAACTTTTATTTCAATGCATAAACATTTGATTTTATTTCAAAGTGAATTTATATATTTCATAAACACAAGTGCAAAGACTTCACACGGCAAAAGATAAAAATCATTTTCATTTCAAAGTGAATTTATATACCATATATATTCACGCATCATGTGACCATTGAAGACTTAATTTTGAAACTAATTTGACTTACAGTAAATAGATATATAGTTTGGTCAGCAGCATAGCCAGGGCCAGAAATACATTTGTTAATTTTACATCTTGTGTATGATGCAACCCCCTTAAAATTAACTTCAAAATTAGGTCTTCAAAAGTCGCATGATACACAAGTATATACGGTACTTCATCAACACAAGTACAAAGATTTCACAAGCCAGAAGACAAAAATCATTTGCTTTCTTTTTAGTTGTGTTTTCAAATTTTAACAAATTTTTTTGTCATCAAAAACTGTATTTTTTAATTTTCCTAATAAAAAATATTTTTTGTGATAAAGTTTTATTTGATTTGATTTTTCAAGTCATAAAATAAATTTTAAATTATTGTTTCCAGATTTTCTTGATAGAATTTTTATTCTACTTTTTTTGCTTTCCATAACAAAAAAAGTTGAAAAATTTGTTCTCTATTTTTTTTTTTTCTCAAACAAGATCTAAAAATGACTTTTCTAAATTCTGGAAAAAAGGAACCACCTCATGCCTTGATTTTTAACATTTGAGAATTATTTCTTAATTACATTAAGAAGTTTGGGTATAATAAATTTTACAAGTTCGGATTGCTTGGAGATATATAAAGTTCCCTAAGAAGGATATACCTTATTTATACAGAGTACTTTAAAAAAAAAATCTTAACTGAAAAAAGATGTGATTCATTTCTAGATGCTATACTAGCGTGTACATCAAAATTAAAAGCAGATACCATATATTGCTTTATAAAAAATACACATGAAAGTAAATGATTTACCTCAATATGCTATATTTGCATTTATATGACTACATTATTAAATTCATTGTCCAAGAATATTAACCTTCAATTCGTCCTATGGGGTGCTTGAACAATATACAAATTGTTTTTTCTTAATATTTAGCAAGTGGTAAGTTAAATTTACATGATTAATAAAGTAGCTGTTATGGAGTTTCTGGTTTTAGTTATATTTGTGTAAATTACGTGCAATTATATTTGTTTACTGAAAATAAAATGAACCGTAACTTACTTTTGCATATTCTAACTTTTGAATTTTTCAAAATGAAACCTTTTGTTATTTTTATTTATTCTATAAAAACCAGAAATAACACTTAAGACAAATATGTCAAGAAAAAATGAATAATTAAAGGATATTATCTATATTTTAAATGAGGTGTTTGAAAACCCAACAGTACTAATGCTGTGACAATGCTACACAGTACTAACAAAGGTCTTATTAATTCTTACCTGTAAGGTGCCCAATGTTAGCTGCATCATATACCCTTTTTGAAATTCACATCTTCTCTTCATTTTGTCCTCTGAACATTCTGAATAAATACCTACTTTCCTGCAGTTCTATTTTGCCTCTGGGAAATCCCCATAATTTTATTATTACTCTATACCAGAAAAAAAATGTCACTGAAAAGTGTTAAAAGCTGCTTGTGTGCATTCCCTAACAACCACTTGTTAAAAATCAAACAGTGTCTTTCTTTTCTATTGCTTGTAACTGATTATCAAGGAGTGTTTCAGTAAATTGAGGAATGGGAAGGAATAAAAAGAGAAAAATCCACCCTGTTTACAGATGTACTTCTTTTTTTCTTCTTGTGACAATCACAGACTTTTACGTGTCACATGTTGAGTGCAGACTTATTTTGAAGCCAAAAATAGCATGGAAAATTTGTTCATTTTTTTTTTCTTTAAGTATGTTAAAAAAAACAAAACATGGAAAAACCTAATCAGTTGTGTTACTTTTTTTAGTTCTTCAAGATAATTGTCTAAGAGCAAATAAAAATTCTTGAAAATTTTACTATTTTAACTCTTTAACCATTATATTTTATCAACTTCAAAGGCATATCTGTAGCATATATCCTCAGGTTAATGTTTTCTGTTGACATGAAGTGGAAAGATTATATTAAATCACTTGCTAGGTCTGCTACTAGGAAAGTTCTTTCACCATGTTATGCAAGACAATTTTTCTCACCATAATATTACACATATATATATTACACATTTATAAGTCTACTATTCACCCATGAATTGAATATTTCTATTTATAAAATCCAAAGTATCTGCAATGTTATCAGTCCTGATCTGACATCTTTCTAATTACCGTAATGTAGCTTTCCTGTGCCTTTTCTATAAATATTTTCATGGTAATTGTTTTATGAGCTTTTCCTCTTTGATATTTTAATTTTATGAATTTAAACACAGTACTAGGTTGGCTGTTAAGTCTCATTGTTTTACAGTTGAAGTGGCTAGATATAATTGTACATTCTATACTAAACATTTCTTCTCTTGCATTTCTCATTTGTGGAACTCTCTTCAGGCTTATTGCTTTCCACTCAAGTTTGATCTTTAGAAATTGAAATGTAATGTCATTTGTTATCTCTTGTCTTCTTAGTTCTTGTTTTTTTATTGGTCTCTCTTCTTAATGTTTTTCTTTTTCTCATTCTTTCACACTCAGTAATCCTTTGCATCTTAGTGGTTTTATTGTCTTGCTTGTTGAAAGCCTTAACAAATATGTTGATGCATCAATTCAAGACTACAAACTGACAGAATATTTGCTCCAAATTCTACAAAATGAAGAAAAAATAAGTCTTTAAAAGATCAGAGACTTACATGCTAGTTTTCAATTATGTGAAAATATATTGGAATTTTATAATTTTTTTAAAGAATATATATACCTAAATAATGTTACATATTTTCTATAATAATTCACATATATATAATAAAATATCTACTTAATTATCAATAATTAAAATAAAATATTTATCTTTTTCCTATCCGTACTTCCAAGTTTCATATATAAGCAGTATCTTGTTTTGTTTGCATATTTCCTTAAAGACCATAAAAAGATTCTTTTGTTAAAATGTCTTCATTTATTTTTCTTGTTTTCTAAATAGTTACTTAAATAGTCCATTTGGCCATCTTCAGAAAATAAAAATTTTTTAATCTGATTGTGACTTGGCTTTCTCCGCCTCTTATTTTCATAGATTTTATTTTGTGAGTTTTAACATATTTGAATTTTGTATCATATCAAGTGTTGTGATATTATTTTTTTAATTTGAATTTTGTATCATATTAATGTTGTGATATCATTATTTTAGAGCTTGAATTTGTGTGTGTGATATGTACACAGTTTCACAATGTTGCTAATCAAATGCTATTTTTTGTTAAAAAAATATTTAAAATATTGGTTATGTGGATGGACTGAAAACTTCATAGGCTGACAATGAAAGAGTGATGCAGAAATTAATGCATGCAAGGTTTCACAGCTCTAGCATCACTCCTTCATAGTCTGATTATGAACTTTTCAGCCCACCCTTGTATATTAAATGATATTTTGTTGAAAAAGAAACAAAAAAAAAAACCCAACTCTGGCAAGGGATGTATAAATAAGAATTTCTCATTTCATTGCAAAATTGTTTAGCATTTAGATTACAACCACATCATATTGAAAAACTGGTTCTCATCTGATTACTGAAGTTAAGCAACAATGAGCTTGGTTAGTAACTAAATGGGTAATCGCTTGGAAATACCAGGTGCTGTAAGCTTGTGTGTGCTGGTGGCATGATGGATAATGGTTTGGAATGAAAAATCAGAAAGCTGAATTCCATATGAGTTCATTATATTCACTTACATGCAAATACCTTTGGGAAAGGTATGAATCCATCTCTTCTCAAATCAGTTATGGGTTAAATAGCAGGAAAGACTGTGTCTTATAGCTTTAGTTGGCAGCTAGTCTATTGCAGAAAGTAACAGCAGACTACTGTGGGAATTTGTCAAAAATAGTACAATTTAGTTTATAATTTCTAGTTTTACAGTCTCTCTATCTTAAATTATTAAAAAGATAATAAAAAATCTTGGAAAATATCTTTTTTTGGATTATTTTCAAATTTAAAACAGAATCATGACCATTCTGATGAGTTTTAAATTAGTCAACATGGTTGATGTATGTTGAAACCTATAACTAGACATATAATCTTTTGTTCAAGCTGAAGTGCATCCTGATTGCTGTCAGGACGTGTGTTCTTGTGAGATCTATAAATATATTTTCATTAGTTTCTTGCAGCTACACTTTTACTTGTGTGTACACTGTATTAAATCAGAGCAAGCAATAGAGATGCAAAAAGACTTATACTATGTAACCTAGATAGGCATTTAAGAAGGTAACAGCACAAAGGCTTAAGATAAAAGGAAAGCTTGATTTGCATGGGAAAGATACTTGATTAATACATAACCTTGACTGGGGACAACTAGACTGTATGGATAGAGAACAAGTTCAGTGAAAAGACTAAAATAGAAAGAGGAGTAAGACAAGCATGCATTTTCTAACCAGATTTATTTAACCACTACAACAAAACAATCCTAAGAAAACTAGAATAACCAGAATTTGTTATTAGAGGACATATTCTTAACAACCTAAGATATGACATTATGCTGATGGCAGACTCAGAAGGACAATTGAAAGTACTCTTTAGACAAAGTAGTAAAGGAAAGCACAAAGAAAGGACTATCAATTGTAAAAAGACAGAATGCATGACTTTCAGCAAAATGGTAATATTAACCATTTTCCTAAGGAAGCATTTGACATTCATTGACCAAGCAGCCAGTATGGTTTTCAATAGAAATTTATGAAATCATTCTCTTAAAACAATTTTTCAGGAAAATAGTTTTTTTGAGGTCCAGTAATTGTTATCACTTTTTTCAGTATTGATCAGGGTTTCCTTCTTAAATTGAAATAGTGTAGAATGTCAACATCTTAATTGTGTAATTATTTTTTTCTTTAAGTAACAAGTACTATCAATTTTAGTTGTTGCTACTGTTGATAGTCCTAAAGTGATGTGGTTTCTTTTATTTGGTACAGTTGTTTGTGATTTTGTAGCACCAGTCCACAATGTTCCAAGAAAAATGATCTTGGCCAAGACTCTCAGGCTTCACTCATGCAAACTCAAAGCCTTTTTTTACCATTGATTTTAGAATATGGTTGTATACAGCTGACAGCTTAGATATTTCTGAATGGTTTTGGTGTTATATATGACATCTGTATGAAAGTCTTGATCTAACAATGCTATTTAAGAACATGATTCAAATTTTCAGTTTGATGTTTTGTTTTTGTAGCAATTTGCAGTGTTGGGCAAAACTACCTTTGGCACAATTTATTCTATGTTCAATTTTCTTTTCTCCTATACTATATTTGATATAACTGATCCATATGCTCAGGTATTTGAAGTGTTTGGTATTTACTAATTCCATATAAAGTGTGAGCTATGTATTGGAGATGTTGACATCAAGCAGGGTACAGAAATTCAACTAGTGTTATAACAGATGATGGAAAAAGTGACAGAAATTTGAAGGCATACAAGATTAATAAAAAAGATGCCTTCCAGAAACTAAACATAGTAGTAAGAGAAAGGAAAACTTCACCAGAAAGAAAGAAAAGAGTGCTGAATTGCTATATAATAATTACTCTCCTGTATGACAGTGAATACTGTATAATCTCCTCATAGATGAAGAAAAGACTTGAAATGACAGAGAACTAGTTTTATCAAGAAAAGTTGAATTGACTGATTGATTGATTGGTTTTTACAGTTTATCAACCTTTTGCAGATTATTTAAAGCCAGAATTTTTTGGAGATAATGAATTACTGATACAAGTCCTACTAATTAGCCCATAGCATGAGGGGGAGATTCATACCTTTCCTAAATAAATGACTACAGCAAACCCAACTGGAATTGAAACTCAACTTTCCGATTAATGATTCTGAGCTGTTATCCAATACACCATCTGCACATTCAAGCATACAGCACCTGGTATTCCCAGACAGTTACCCACCTAGGTACTGACCAGGCATGACGTTACTTAACTTCAGTGATCATACAAATGTTTCGACAAAGAAAAGTTCAATGATGCAATGAATAAGTCTTAGAAACAACAATTAGAAAAAGGGAGTTGAAATTTCTGGGATATATACTGAGGAAAGAGTGCCTAGAGAATCTAACACACACACATAGGATATATTGATGGCAAGAGAAGCAAGAGCAAATAGTGAGTAACATATTCAATAAGTGTGTGAAAGGATGGTAAAACAAAGACAAAGAGGTATAGCAAAGAAGTAAAAGTTACTTAGAGCAACAAGAGACAGGATGTTGTGCACCCACTTCCTGAAAAGACATGGTACATAAAAGAAAAACTATATTTGGTATTTTAGAAGTACTGGAAAAACTATTAAGTTGAGTCATAAGTAATTTTCAGTTTTAAGAACCAATTGTAATTGATAACGTATCATCTTAACTACTAATAATATGCGGCAGTTAAAAATATATTTGGAATACACTAACATATCTTAGTTTTAAACAGTGGATTAAAGAAAAAAGGTTTTCCACCATGACAATGTAAGAACATATATAGCAAGAATAACAGGAACATAAATATTTAAAGTTGGTTGGTCTGTTACTGCCATATTCCCCTGACCTTGCACTAGCTGATTATTACCTTTTTTGATTGCTGCAAAATGTCTTAATGGGGAAAACTTCCCTAGTAAAAACCAGATTCAAGACTTTATTGAAACATTTGTTCATATCAAAACCTGTGAAATTTAACTCAAAAGGTATCATAGCTGCCTGATAATTGGCAACAAGTCATTGCAAATAATGGTGAATATATAATTGAATAAAATGTAATTGTAATTTATTTTTCGAACAAGAAATTTGATAAAATAAAAAAAAGAAATTATTTATGACTCAACCTAATATAAAAAAAAAGCCTTTTTTTGTTTCCTTTTCTTTTACTTTGGACTTGTTATTGAATACTCTGTTTGTTCATCTGATTGTCAGTATAAATCTTTTTAATTCAAGAATAAATTTTTAAAAGGCAACTGTATCCAACTAATAAATATGAAATTATCAAGTACATAAGCAAATTATCCCCAAAAGAATGTAAGAATAGGATCTGTTCAAGTTACAATCTCTTGAACATATGACCACTGGTTTAAACAGAGTCGTATTTGTTCTACAGAATTAAACACACATCCTTTGAAAAGTTTATATTCAAATGGATCACACGGTCGAAGCCAGAAGACCAAATTTGGTATTTTTCTTTGATGTGATGCATCCCTTTAGGATATAGTGATCATGATTTTCCACAACTTCCTATCCTTTGTAGCTCTCAGCAATACTTGTTTTTTGCTATCTCTCCCACTCCTTTTTCTGACATCCACAAGCTCATTAGGTAAGTTACTTATTGTTTTTTTTTTGTCTTGAAAATGTTAAATTTTTCAAATCTTTCCTCATTATGTATTCTGATTATGGTGACATCACATTGAAACTTCAGTTTCCATATGATCACCGACATTAAGCAATGTTGAGCATAATCAGTACCTAGATGGGTGATCACTTCGGAATACCAGGTGATGTAAGCTTGGATGTGCAGGTGGAGTAATGAATAATGGCTCAGAATTGTTAATTTGAGAGCTGAGTTCCAATTCTCATTGGGCTTGTTATATTCACATGTGCAAATATTCTTGGG